CCCTTCCCCTTCTCCTTCTCCTCTATCTCCCTCTCCTTCCCCTTCTCCTTCTCCTTCCCCTTCTCCTTCTCCTCTATCTCCCTCTCCTTCGCCTTCTCCTTCTCCTTCTCCTTCTCCTCTATCTCCCTCTCCTTCGCCTTCTCCTTCTCCTTCCCCTTCTCCTCTATCTCCCTCTCCTTCCCCTTCTCCTTCTCCTTCCCCTTCTCCTCTATCTCCCTCTCCTTCCCCTTCTCCTCTATCTCCCTCTCCTTCCCCTTCCCCTTCTCCTTCTCCTCTATCTCCCTCTCCTTCCCATATCACCAGTTAAAATAAACAAAAACAAAAATAAATAATAGAAAGCATAATGAAAACATTGCTTCGAACAGAGGAAAGAAAACACAGAAGGCGACACAATACATATCTGTTAATAATGGCATGATATTATATAACAAAATATAGGTAATTATTCTACAAATGACGTTGATATTGATAATAATAATGATAATGATGATAGTGATAAATCAATAAATGGAGAATAAGGGCATAATGATAATAATAATGAGAATGATAATGATAATTATAAAGTAATAATAATGACGATAATAATAATCTTTTCTTCTCTATAATGGGAACATTTCTAGAATTCCATAAGGATCTGACACATATGTAGATTATAAGAATCGTTGTTTGAATTAATAATAATTTTCTTCTACACGAAACCTCTATATTGACTAAATGTAACTTTTTTTTGAGGCGCCCTACATCCCGTAAAGATAGGGTGAGAAAAGGAAAAAATAGGTTTCGTCACTTTGATAAGGTCCTTTCTGTCAAAAGTGCTGATAAAAATAACACAAGTTTCCCGTTAAGCTGTATTGACATCGGGCCCTGTTATGTGAAGCTTCATAAGGAATTTGTATTTAAGAATCCCATGTAATGAGGGATAATTATTATTGATTCAACGTAGAGAACTTTGTTGAGAAACCCAATGATATTCGTCACCATTGTAAGGACGTTTGACAATACCAGACGAAACGCCAAACAATATTCATTTCTTAGCTTTTAATTAAACAGTTCTACGATGTTCTAATCTCCTGATCTGTGCGCATATGGGGCAAAATGTGTCACTGAATATTAATTGATTACTCGTTAAGGCTAAATGAAAGGAAATGTAAGAATGTATATGTAAGACAGTAACCGTATGATCAAAAGGAATTCCGGATAAAAAAAAAATGCAAAAAGCGGTACATCAAACGTAAATACATTTTCATGCCCGAAGGAAAATGTATTGCAAGTGTAAATGCACATTTCAGTGATAGGTAAATGTATATATGCTGAATATGCTAAAATCAACGAAAGGATGACTCACAGGGGGAGGGGGGGGGTGACATCGATTCCGACTCAGTGACTCAGAAAAGATGAGGCTCCACATAATGCCTTGTAGCCTTTTGTTTTTCGGCTCCAGGTACAAGCTCAAAGGCAGTAACACGTAGCAACAGCAAATGTAATAACACCCGTAAAAGCAGAAACAAATACAACAGAACTCCTAGTAGCAGAAACAATTGCAACAACAATCCTAGAAGTACCAACAAATGATGCAGCGGCCTTAGCACTTGCACAGTACCAGCTCGAGCTCCGCGTTCAACACAGCAAGTGAGCATAACACTCGACAGAGAGAACGTAAACACAGGCCTCTTGCAAATATTACTTTTTAAACGGTCCTCGATGCAACAACAGATTGATTAGCAACTTCACTTCCATGAGAGGAGGAATATACAACCACACTAATCATCAAACAATTTCTGCAACTTGCAATGTAGATTTAAGCATACGACTTATATTTTGAAACGTGTAAAGAAAAACAGGTCTTTTTCTACTGTATGATTATCTTTGGCTCCTGATGTTAATAATTCTTTTGAAAATTATCATTATTATCATTATTATCATTATTGTTATCAATATCATTATTATTGTAGATTATTCTATAGTGCTAATGATAACAATACTGATGGTTATTATTAGATTATGATAATGATAATGATTATATATTATGATAATAATAATAATAAACATTATTATGATAATAATTAACCTATGATGATAATGATAATAGCAATAAAAACAATAATGATAATAAAAGTAATAATAATGATAATGATGATAATGTTAAAAATGAAAATGAAAATAATAAAACTAATGTTGATAGTAATAAGAATAATGATAACAATAGTAATAATAAGAATACGAATAAAAAAGAGAATGATAATAATAATACTAATAGTGTGTGTGCATGTATAAATATTTATATTTGTGTATACATGTATGTATGTAAATATATATATATATATATATATATATATATATATTAATATATATATATATATATATATATATATATATATATATATATATATATATATATATATATATATATATACATGCATACATACATACATATGTATGTATGTGTATATAAATATACGTATATTCATTATATGTATATATATATATATATATATATATA